AAAAATGTAGATTGGTGGAGTACATTCTATCAACACATCGATCAATCAATGACTGATGATCTCGGTAGTTTATTGTTGAAAAAGCCCATCTTTCTTCTCCAAACTGATCCTCATAGACAATATTTGCCTGCATATACTACAACTTCTCGAGGACGCTACGTATCGGATAATCTCTTACTGCACATGTGGAAACGACAACTCATTCTATTGCGATATACTTCACCATGGGAGCGAAGCGCTCTACTCAAATCAAAGCAAGTGCAACTCCTTACCAACGAACGCCTGATACACATTATTCTATGTGATCATCTTCAGATCTCGCTTTCATCTATAACTATCAATGCAACTGAACTTCAGATCGAAGAGGTTTGGCAAGATTTGTTCTATTTAAAGTCTAAAATTGATATAGTAAATAAGTCCGATCCATTCTTAGTGCCTGTTAAAGGCCCTTCGCGTCTTGTCCCTATCCAGGATGCTACTTTGCCAACAATTTTAGGAGTCAATATTCAAGACGTCCTGCATATTTCGAACACACATGTTATTCGCTTTCCATATGATCCAACCTCAGTCCATGATAATTTAGAATGGGAACATTTTTTTCTCTGCATGAACTGTCAAAAACCAATGATCCATTTATCAGCTGATCGCGGACTGGCTCACTTGCCAATACTTCGATCTTTTGTGATGTTCACCAATACTAAGTTAGCTGAAGAGATTTTTTCAAGTCAATCAGCTGATACTCAAGAATGTCTTCGACAACTTCCCATCTGTGCTCATGCGAGTGGTCATGAACAGATCTATCCAGTATCGACCACATTTGATAAAACAATCATTAATGATTTACCATATCTACCGCAAGTTGATATTCCACCCGATTGTCGTTCTTTGGCAAAAATGCTCGGTGTTATTTGTGACTATGATCTACGAGCATGTGTGACAGTTTTACAAGTACTGAGTGATCAAAGTAACACGGATCTCGTGCTCTATATCCATTGGTTAGGACATTTGCAGCTGTATTTTCGTCAACAACGTACTCGTTGTCAATCCATAGAGGTAATATCATCATGTCGCATTTACCTGCCAGATAACCAACAATTTCGATCATTAAAAGATCTGCTTGTTCTTCAGAATCATACCGAACATCGTACTAGCATTGAACTCGTATCCGAATATCTGAATTTACCTATTATTTCACCATCGACTAATCAGATCTATTGGCAATTTAAAGATCTTTTTGATATATTAAACTGTGTATGTGCAGTAAACCTATCACATCTTTTCCAAACAATTCATTTAGCTAGTTGTGATAAGAGCAACTTTCATGATCTTGGGGATGGTATGACAGTGCTAAAAGAGATGGGTGTCGAAAAAATGATTAGTCTGTATCATCATCTTGAAACTTTGATACTAAAGTGCGTCATGGAAAATAAAACTAACGATACGCTACATAATGCTATTGCTAAAAAACGGCATCCAACAGCACCTTGTGGTAGTCGCGAAGATTGGGAGTGGCGTTTTGGATTGACATGCACAAAGATTTCGGTGGAATTGCGAACATTAATTGGACTAAATCTAGAAAATGAGCAACTACCACTTCTCACAACTGACAGAGAGCTCGTTATCAATACAAATGGTGCAATTATCTATGCATGTATGGAACAAAAAATTATTGAAAATTTAGCGAAAGATGCTGGCAAACGATTCTTTATTTCACCATTGATTACGAATACGTGTCCACTTGTCTTAGCCGCACTGAATATTGATTATGTAGAACGACGAGGTAAAGTCTGTTGGATTCATAAAAATAACAATACTGAGCAGGTTCTTGAAGAAGTCACAGAAATATTTCGGGAAACACTAGAGGATCCTGAAATAGAGGTGGTCACCGCTAAATATACGCATGTGACTCTATGGTTGTCTGATCTATCTCTACTCAACTCAAATGATGAGGATCTTCAAAGCAATGTTGATTCCTATACGTTCGACAGTGATTTTCAATTTTGGATTTTCAACAAAATTGTTCTCTTAAGTATCGACATGATTCGTGAAAATTCAAAAAAATCAATGATCGCCGCATCTGCTCTGGCTACCCTATTGTATAAACGTAAACTACTACCCATAGAGACGGCAAAATCAATTGCTCAACAGAAGATTCACAAGAGTATATCATTTTCTGCGAAAAAATTTGCAAGCGTCGCTAGCACCGGTCCTCAATATTATTCCTACATCGATATAGTATTTCCGATTGATAATCTTTCTATCGAAACTAGTTCCATCTTATTGAGAAGTCAACATGATACTGAATCAGATTCATCCTGTAATCAGACACTGATAGTAACGATGGGGCGAAGAGTTGAAGATCGCCAATATCGAAATCGAGTAAAACAACAGGATCATCGTACTCTGATATTGGAAAACTTGAAGAAGTCCGCAGATTGTAAGATTGTCGACCATGATGAACAAATCCGTATTGGTGAAAATGCTGAACATTTCTTCTTTTGTTATCTGCAAAAAGAGTACGGAGTAGCTTATATTACTCCAACAGTGAACTGGTGCTCATCCAATCGCCAAAAGCTGTTCCCAAGCTGTTTACGCAATATAGACGATACGGTTGGTTATGACTTCGTCTTACATGATAAAAAAGAAATATTTGTAAAAGGATCTGGTGCATCAACCAAACGATGTTATTTTGAAGTAAAAGGAACTGGTGGTTCGTTCAATGTACAGCAAACACGTTTTCATATTTCCGAGAATGAGCGTAACACGTGTGAGACTATTGCTTTTAATGAACAACGGAAGGAAACTGAAGCTTATCTAGT